GTCTTAAAGACAAAATGGAACTGTTCATGCAAAAACCCACACACACAAACCTGTTAATGGCGGCCGGTGAAACTACGGTAGCTTGCCGTCGCGGTTCAGTCGTAACCGGCGGCTGCATTGCACCCTCGCCAAGCAGAGACCCAACTGCAAAACTGAGAGGTGTTGCGACCTCGGAAGAGAGTCGGGGCTTCTGTTGGCTGCCTAGCACAGTTTTCAATTGCTCAAGCAGATCACGAACAGGGAGCGGAGAGTGGGGCAGTTGAGAGCCCGAACGGGAATCATCAGTCGCAGCTTTCTCCGCTTCAGCCAGGAGTTGTCTGATGAGGGAGAGCGGAAGCAGAATTAAACCAGTGGCAGCAACGTCACTGCAATAACTCTAAATCAACCAGTCAAATGCAAGACTAATACTCCGGACGATAGCATAGCACAAGCAGAGGGAGACGCAGAAACACATGAAAATAACTAAATGCACAAACACTACTTTGAGTGAATTTTGCGGGGAGGAGGAGTGGCGACTATTTTATGCAGCCCAACTTGAGCATCTGGGAAGGAAGAAACTAGCATTGCGCTCCAAGTAAAGCAAATGCGTAAGGAAGTCGGATGGAGAACGTTTGGACAACGAAACGCAAAGGACACACAAGGGGGAGGGCTCACCTGTTTCGAGGGGTGCACTCAGGACATTGTTGGTCCTCATGGGAGTAACTTTCAAAGCACCTGAAACCGCAAAGCAAACAACGCCAACGAAATAAACATAAAGGAAATCGGTAATAATCTAATGCTCAAAATTAAATCGTCGAAAAGTAAAAGGAAAACAGAAAACGCAGTATACCGAAAACATACACCAAATCAAAAAAATTAATGGAGACTATAGTATAGTACATAGCCCTTGCTATTCCTTATGACGGAGATACCAACGGTTAAGGTAAGGCCCTACTTTATGCAATTGTGGGTACAGAGCTTAAGGTGACAGTAAGAGATTAAAGTTAGTGTTATAGTTTTAAAGTTACGGTCTGGGTTAGGGTTTAGAAGTTCAAATTCATTTAGAAATGTATGGCAAGGAATGTGGGCGGGGTTGTAAAGTTATAGTTCTGAGGTTAGGGTTTAAAATGTACGTTTAAGAGATATAATGAACGTTAGGATATGAGGTGAGCATATGGTATCCTATGCAGACTTCTAAGTCGCAGATGCTAGTAATGGAGTGTGTGGAGAGACTGACTATGGTCGACTCACGAAGACATTTATAACGGCTCCTGTGCTGATTATTGGCCTGCATTTACTGCTTTTGTAAATGTTCTTCTGTTTAAACTTCCGAAATTTTGATTGTTCTTGCTTTCCAGATGCTCTATTTTCGAAGTATTTTCAATGAAAAACAGTATTTTTAATTTCTTGATATTTCGGTTAATAAACTTGATTTCGGATTTTGGGCAGTGAGCGATAATGCTAATCAACCCTATTTTATCGTATTTTTAAAATTATTCGGCCAAGTTTTCACTGGCTGTCGATGTACTTTAACAAACAAATGGCACAAATCTATTGTTTGGCGTTTCTACTTCGTGGAGTGGGCTGTCCACCGCTTCCTTTAGCACCCTCCATAAAATGTCCATTATCGCCGTAGTACATATGTTCTTGTTTCTTTTTTGATGAATGGAATTGCGTACGATATCATGCGCCGACTTAAGCAATGTGTGAAGGATAAAAACTAACAGAAGAGTATAGAACAGCAGTCTAAAAACACAATAGGAATTTAAAAAGTTGGTCCGCCAATCCCCACAAGGGAAGGCCTTGGATAAAAGACCCTGTTTTTCTAAGAAAGTCACCCAGGCGCACGCAAACTAGATGTTTATTGATGCGCAGGACGCTCAGATAATGTTACTTGAGGTCCAAAAACGTGGCCGAAGTAGCTTAATCAGGTTCATTTGTCAGTGGTAGCCAGTCGGGCGATAACCACGGAGTTTAGAGAACTCTAGACTATGGCTATAATGTGGCAGGATATCAATTTATCCACGATTCAGGCGAAGAACAAATTCATAGACAGAAGGACAGAACCAATGTATGAGGGCTACTTGCCAGATGAGATTATGAACGAAACGAAATAAGCGGCAACTGATTTA